CGGCGGGAGACTCCTTTCGAATTCCCCATAGAACACCTGATGGTGTCGTACGTGGCGCCAAATCGGCGTCACGGTTGCGATTCTCGAATCGAAAATCAACCAAGCCGAGAATCACCAGCCGATTCGAATTTTCAAATAGAAACAACGAGACAGGAATAACAAAAGCGCTTTGCCAACGCGTTCATGTAATCGCCGCTTTCGAGTTCTGACCACTTTTTCACTTGGAATCCACGATGGGAAAAGGTGTTGCTCCCAGAATTGTGTAACACAGCGTCAATAAAAATTAATTATGCGCTTCATACACGCCTCTTTCTCCAAATCCTACTCGTTCATGCTGCTCAGTTATAATTACGCATTTACATGTTTCTTTATTTTCTTATTTTTGCCTTTAGCTTGGTGATCTTGGCTATTCAACATAGCACTACTAGGCTTGCTTTCTCTCTCTCTTCCAGAATTCCTGAAATACTGAATAAATACATATTTATATGCAAATTCTTCACTTTAAGATTAGGTTGATAGCTGTATGAAATATCTTCAATTATTATTATTATTGTTGTTGTCACTATGTGCACATTATATTGTGATATAGCTTATTCTGTTTCATATTTTATGCTTATGTGTGTCTTTCTTCCAGAATTCCTGAAATACTGAATAAATACATATTTATATGCAAATTCTTCACTTTAAGATTAGGTTGATAGCTGTATGAAATATCTTCAATTATTATTATTATTGTTGTTGTCACTATGTGCACATTATATTGTGATATAGCTTATTCTGTTTCATATTTTATGCTTATGTGTGTGTAGGTGTAGATGTTCAGTTCTCCAAATAAAATATTCACTGAATATTCCTTTCTAAGTATCTATGAACTCTAAATACTATGATGTTGTCTAGCTAGGTTTTATAAATATATTAATCGAATATATTACAGATATTTGTAATATAATCCAAATTTCATGTTTCTAATTATAGGTTAACTTATGCAGAAGAGTCTAACGAAAGCAGGAGCTACCGACGCGACACTAGCGCCACCATTGTCAACTACTCGGGGGTCCCCCAATTTCACATATCTAAGACTATTCTTTTCATACATGTTTCTGCAACGATTCCAAACAATACATTAAAAACTATAGACGAGGAAGGTACTAGTCATTTTTCGGTCTCTTCGTAGAGAAATACTGATCAAATTACATTTTCATCCCCTGTGCCTATGTCCACCGACGTATAACACACGGGACCAACATGAAAAATGAATAGAAAAAAGCCAACGAACTAGAGAAGAAACGCAGGAATTACTGTCATAGCAAATTACAATGATAAATAGAACATAATAAAGGTATATTACACGCGATACATAGTTTCTTCCTGTGAGCAAAAACCAACTAACTCGATGCATAATAAGGATGATTAAATCATTGAGGACGCCATCACGTCAAGAAATTAATTCTTCGTTTCATTCTTTTGGCTCGCGTATCTGAGCACGAAATTGAAATTATCACGTATACACGCGATTTTTCTCGGCAACCTCTTTACGATCTAACTCCATTATCAACTGGCCGTCCTGATTAATATCAAGCTGAGCTGAGAGGAGCACGATCGCCGCTAACGACCAATTATCATAGAACGATTCTCAGACAAGCTAGATTCATTGGCTATAACGTCGATGATTCAAGCCAGGCTCTTCCTCATGAATTATTCATTCGACGTCTAACGGATAGACTTGGCAGTAGAATTCACGCGGAATGCACTTCCCTTCCTTTCGATTCGATCCATGGCACAGGTGTATTAGTATCGCTTTTAATTCTTCTTTCTCTGTTTTCCATGTTTGCCGTTTCTCCTTTTCTTATTATTGGCAAGTCTGTGATAAGAAAATTGCTAAGTGTTGGACAACCAATACTCTTTGGCAGCTGCCATATTTTATTTTGTCTCGGATAGTTAATTGATAGTTTATAGGTTAGGAATGTTCGGATGCGTTATAGTGACATAGCATCCAGTGGTATCTATTTCGATCCAATTCCTGACACAAGTGTAGATCTTCTTCCTTTATTTTCCATCTTTCTAGTCGTTGGTGTTGTTCTGGGATAAACAAATTTCTGAGTGTTAACCAATCGATTCCCTCAGACAGCTGTCATATTTTATTTTGTCTGGCATGTGAACAAATTGATGGTTTATAGATTATGATGATTAGAACGCGTTCTAGTGACTTTGATTTAGTAACTATAATATTTCAATTTGTAATATTCCTGTAAAGAAGCCTTGGCTTCACAACATTTAGTTGAGAGAGGTTACATTTATACTATGGAATTTTGTAATTCCAATTATGCATAAATTAATTAATTGTTACTTTCAATTCGCAATAAAGATCATGTTCTATCTTCTAAATATCATAATGCATATGTATTTTATTCTTAATATTCCGGTTAAGTGATTTTTCTTTTTACTTGATGTTAGAAAGAGTTGTCAGAGTCCATAAAATATCAGATAAACAATTGAATAGACATATGTTTCATCTCCTAATATCATAACATATACTTTATTCTCGATATTATATATGCTTACTGAAAGATAAAGAACTATTACAATTGTTCTGTACATCTTCCTTTCAAGTAATTAAACTCTACCTTAATTTCCAACGACTATGACTACAATGGCTACCAATATAATCTGAAAAACCCGATTATAACTAATTAAACCAATCTATCTAATAACCTCTCGTGACTACCAGCATTAAATATAGGTCAAAACGTCAAGGCTGATTTACCATAAGATCAACTATTGTATCATTTAATTAATTATCGAAAATTAAAAGCGAAATATCCTTGTTACCGTTAACTTCCTGCCTTCGTGACTAATTCGAAAAACTTCCTAGTTGGTAACGTTATATCATGAAGTTCCTTTCAGATCGAAAGTTATTATGGACGATATCCAACAACTCCAACATTCATTAACTCCTCCATGAGTTCTTATAATGCTCCGTAAGGCTCTTATTACTAATTCTTGCATGATTGCCTGACGATTTACAGATAGCCAGTACTGCCAACCGTCGTTCCAAGAGACTCGGCGAAAAAAAAACTTCGATTTGAGAGACTCTGATATATGGTGCACATCAGAGATATACGGTAATGCGTAGTATAGCCCGAGGAGCCGGCTCTGCCAGCAGTAAGTGCAGTTATGTTGCACTGACCGCTAGGATGTACCAGCCGGTCCAGAGACTGGTACATCTTGTTGCCATGCAACGTGACGTTTCTGAAATAAAAAGTGCCCCAGCTGGGGGAGAAACGTGAATGTAGATTTACCAAAAAAAAGCCACAAGATTCACTGCTGATGCTTCAAAATATTCTGTTGTATAATGGATGCTGATCGCTTGGGAAGGTCTGGCCTCCTTCTTTGAGTTAGATGGTAGCGTAGCAACTAGAGGATAGTTCTCTTGGTACTATAGTTTCATCCAATAAAGTTTCCAGGCACTCGTGTGTTTCCAAATGTTCAGATTGTCAATAGTTCGATTCTCAATCCTTAATTTGCCTATTGAAAAGACATGAAAGTTAAAAGAAGCTGAAGAAGAAGAAACCAAGCAAGACCATAAATCATTGATGTTTCCATCAAGTGAATTTTCTGAATTCACTGAAATTACTAAGAAAGAGTGAAACCTTGGATTTTTAATGTACAATTAATAATAATCCAATGTTTAATCTTTAACCTCTTTTTACCAAGAAATCCTAACCTATTTTCCTTTTTAAAAATAGCCATCCTAACGTAGGAAGAGTATCCCAACTTTTTCTTGTAGAGTATCAAACTTAAGAAAACTCAAGAAATCCAAACATATCAGAACCACGAATCGTTCTCAATTTTAGGTTATGAACTTTTCAGATACTCGTGGGTCTCCATCAGAGTAAAAGTGAGCAGTGCAGGACTAACATTGGTAACACATCCGTACGAAGGGTTTATGAAAGACATTTCCACGTGATAGTCTCAGTGGCATTACGAAATTCGCCCATGGCAGAGATAACAGTCGCGGGAACCTCTGCCTTCAGGCTCGCCATAGGAGTCACGCTAATATTTCTACGTCGCGGAGCGCATCCTCATAGCCGATGAATAAACAGATAAACACCGTGAGCTAGTCACGAAAGCGAATTGCGTTTCATTAGCATGAAAGTGAGACGCGGATGCGCTGGCATACTATGATAATCATCAAGATCGAACAATTATGCAAATATCAGCGGAAAAACATCGAATAGCTGCGTTGACAGATCAAGCGTACACATTCTTCCATAATCTTCCAGACATGTTCCTTATACGATCCTTTTATACGTATGTACTACGTGCAAACATAATATACGAGGAAGTTATGAATCGTCTCATGTCCTTGGTTTCCTAGAAGAGTGACATAATTGAAAAATAGTCAGTTATGAGATACAATAGATTCGTGGGCCCTATCGCCTACTAATTTACTAAATAATAACATCAGCGTATGGACAGGTTACAAATTGCAAGTTGTAAATTAGAAGTTGTAAACTTGCCTTCTAGAGTTTTCAAATTTTTAGTCAAATAGAATAATTAAATGACTCAATATTGTGAAACCGTGAAAGATAAATGTTTATGGCTTGCAATTTATAACTTACAATTTGTAAAGCAAGTGGAATAATTAAATAGTTTACAATTTGTACAATTCACTTCTAGAATTTCATATGATTTATTACAAAAATTATTATCGCTGTTTAAAGTGATGATCGAAGGACTTAAGATACCATTTATTTTATAGAAGAATATAAAATTAGATTATGATTCGAGCATCGTACCAAAACACTTTTCTCATAGAGTATTGTCTCAGTGTTAATTAGGACGACGAACGAGTCCCGTTAGGAAAATTTACTACTATTTTCGACGCTGTACGATACATTCGGCCACCAAGAGCCATGAACCGGTCTCGCCTTCGCTTTGAGACTGAATAAGAAAAACGTAACATACACTGTTAGTTGCTATTAAATCCATGCCAGCTGAAAATCTACATTGACTGACGAAAGTATTTGAATTATTAATATATTATGCGTATTATACAAAACTTTTTGAAATTCCATTAACATTATAATGAAATCCGACTATCATGAGTATACTGGTCAAATTTGAAACCTATGTGAATCTACTTTAAAATTGTTAATTTATGTAGGAATGTATAAGCAAATAAAATATTGTGAAAAAAGAATAGTATGCTTATGAGCCAGAGTTAATGTAAAGCTTTCATAACTAAAATACAATAATTACATACTTACATTAATTATGCAATACAATTTTTCAAATGTTTCGGTATAATAATAATAAAGCATGAAAATAATTCGTATAATACATATCAATTTTCTACAATTATTCAAATTCTTTCATCATTCGCTGTAGATTCCTCATCACGTGGTATTACCATCCTATCTAGCTCCTCATCAACATGGAAACTCATCAAACTACAATAGAACAACAGAAAGCGTCGTTCATTAATCACCAATACGTATATACATGAGTAATTCTCCAAATAAATACAATACTTTACCAAACACAAAATTTATGTATACGTATGCACGTACCAATTATGAATTCACAATGAAAAAAATAGAAAAGAAATTGCTTAATAAATTCAAAATTAATTGCATCGAATATTCCATTGTGTTACGAGGATTCCATGAACTTTTACAAAGAAACTCGCTAGCGTTTCGCAACCGATTACATGATACATAAGGAGAAACACACGTGGAAATGGAAGTTTGAAAATACTTAGAAAGCGTGGCTTGAACGATACGCATTCTCCGTCCAAACACAATGCTCCGTCGGACATACGTTGTAATATAGAGCTGACATTCCTATTACCTTGCGCCGCATGCAACGTGCTACATTCTCCGGCTGCGGCAACGATAAACTGCATCTCCTTTCAGACGTTCCTTCCGCACACGTTCCGCGCTACGGCAATAATGAAAATCCACTTCGTGACCTGGTTTCGAATTATCGATGTACTCGGATAATATCTTAGCTGTATGAGAAAACGAATCTCTGAATTAACTTTAGCTACCATTTCGATATTCGTATATGGTTAGTTCTATTTTCTAAGTTCAAGTACACTCGACTCCGTTCTCATGAATCTTCACACTCGATTTTCAATCAAACAAGTCTCAAACGAGAAGATTTTATCGCGTCATTTACTGCATCTGTTATCGAATCCTTTGTTCTTCATTATCCACTCCTATTTATTTCATTCTTTGTCATCCTCCTCTGCCATGTTTTGTAACCCTCATTTCCCAAAGAAATAAATTTTACATAAAAAATCCTAATAGCTTCTTAAATCGCATAAACCAATGGCTCCTATGGCCTAATGGCCTAAGAAATATTTACACAAGCAAATTATTATTTTATTATTCGAATAAAAAATATTTGATAGCAGCATGTGTATTTATTTATATGTAGTAAATATCTTCTCTCCAAGTTTCAACAAGTTTTTATTCAAGAAAATTCTAAATTTTGCAATAATTACTCGCATGTAATATTACTTTTATGTAAATAAGACAATGATCATTTTTATGGCTTACCCTAGCGAGGTACACCGATGTTGGTTTCAATAGATAACCTTCCAACGAAATGTTCCTTCACGTTACCAGCATCATTTTCCCAAGTGCTTGTGGTTTCTTTTTTATTATTCACTGCACATCACCACAAGATTCACAACAGAAATGTCACTTTATATCGTCAAAACATTTCGTCTCGTTAATTAATGGCCGTATCGCGTTATAAGCCGGCGATAAATCGAACTGTCTCGAACACCATTAGTTGATCAACTGGTCATCTCGACTTTACGATAATAATCAATATCGAATTCCTAACTGTCAATCATAATTAATGTTTTAAAAAATTATAAAAATCTTGAAATGAAAATATTATCGCATATATACAGAATGAAATATTATTGATGTATATATTTCTTTAGAAAAGTTTCGTAATAAATCATTGTCGGGCAGTTTCACTAAGATGAAGAAGTATATAAATGGTTTGTACGATATAATGCGATTCTGACGACACTGATCAATTTCGATTTCGAGATATAAAAAATAAAATCGACATATTTTGGAAATAATTTAGGAGATTTCAATATTTTAGTAATTTAATGCTTAATATTTAAATAATACTTAAAGTTAAATAACGATTTTAAACGAAAAATAAACAAATTATATTTACGAATATTTATCGATTTCGAAATTTCAATAAAAACTAAGATGTCTAACTAATCTAATTGAGATAAAATTCAAATTGCTTCGAAATAATGAAAGTTTAAAAAATGTTAGGGTTAGGATCTTCTAGGATTAGTTACCGGATTACGAAGCGGTTTGAGGAAAAGTCCCGCGACGATGTTTATCCGGTCGACGATTAAAGCGCACTGAGAATATACAGACTGTCGCGGACAGTGCAGACTAGCTCGAGTGCTTGACCGCTTGCTTGGTACTTTGGAAAAAAATTTGAACACGTATTAGTAATGTACAATGCCGGCTGTATGTGCATTTTACCTTTTCATTGAAATGAAACAATCGCATTGCATGCTTTTAGATAAATACATAAAAATGAAGGAAGTAAAGTTCAATAATTGCAATTTTGTTCCGATAAATCGATTACTTTTGAACACCTACTACGGTAGTCAAAGCATTAATTAAAAATTAAGATACTTTCGATTAAAAAATTTCTGAACATCCTATATCACATCGAATTAAAATACATTTTTGAATATTCCACGTATATCAAAAAATTCGCACACATTTTTTCAAGAGGTTCGGAAAAATTTTTGAAAATGTTGCATACGAGATATCTCGATAGTTACATGATCGTAATTATATAATTATATGTTTTCTAAAAGCTTTCGGAAAAATGGAAAGGTAATAAATAAGGATGGGGCCTTTTCATTTATGAATGTGTATATATTATCGCAAATACAGTCGATATAAAACATCCTCGTGTTTCCGCGCGATAATAATCCATACAGAGACGTACAAACGTATGTTACCTTATCGTAGTAAGATCGTGTATAAAAAAACGGATTATTAGGATCAACTTACTCCTATTGCCGCAAGAGGCGTCGATTCTCCCCTCGTGAGATTTGGCGGACTTTACTTTTTGATTACTATCCCCGAGGTCGTCGGATTCATCCGCACAAAGGAAACGTGCTCGTTAGCGCGTAGAGATCTTATCGGCTGCAAACGATCTTACGTAAAACGTTCGTGCACCTAATTCGAGAAGATCCTACAAAAGCTCTGCTGTCGGGGATACTTAATACGTTGACTGCTACGTGAATTTCCTATATTCTGTCCTGAGAATAATAGTAAATTGCAACATACTACACCATAACATTGAATTTTTGCAAAATATTATATTGCATTTGTGCAACTCTTCTTCTGACAATGTTATCTGAATCATTCACAATGTTGAAAATGTGTCGATCCATAAAATTTATTTTATCTTAGTCGCTCTAGAAAATTTAGTAACGTGTGTTACTGATAATCCCCGTGTCAGTCAACGCGTTAAAGTACCACGCGAGTCTCTCACACTGAGAATCGAGTAAGTACGCTGGCTCAGATAAAACTGATACAGATGCATTACCTTTTATTAATTGATTGATTCTATTAGGTTGGCAACTAAATGATTGCGGATTTTGTCATTAGGTGGTAATGACAAAATCCGCAATCACTTAGTTTCCAACCCAATAGAATATACCGTCATAGTTGATCGCGTAAAGATTTTCGTCTGGAATGCGATTGACCCTCGATTCACACGCTTTCATAAAAGTATCGTAAGTGATCTGAATTACGTCACTTAGAAATATTCCACGTTGATCAGTTTTGTAAATCAGAAAAGTGAAGGAAACAATTCTATTACAAACGTTCGTTTTCTTAGAATTCAGCTTGGAATTTTTTCAGAGAAATGCAAGTATTTCTAGTTTTGTCGCGTTAATCGATAGACTGCGGATTTTTATGGATTCCTGGGAAAATGCAGAGAACGCACATAATATGCAGAGACGTATAAATTATCAGAAGCACAGTATATTTGTTACAAGGTATAGTTTACATAGACAAAATTACAAAACAATTTTCCGAAGTCTTATCCCCATATTGTGGTTCCTGCGCAAAAATAATTGATTTTTTTATACTGAACTTTATCTGTTTCTAGGTCTTTGCCTCCATCACGTGAAGCTCAAGAAACTAAGGGACCTTCCTTCCTCTTGTTTCTTGGTTACCTTATTCAAGATAGTCAGAGGAATTTCTGTCTTGACTACTATTTATTTTTATTTAAGGAGTTTAATTAAATAATATAAATGGAAGATCACTTATTAATCAACTTCCAATACTACACAGGTCAACTAACCTATAAGGTAATACACTATTGTAGGTTTTAATAGTTTATACTGATCTGTAGATTAAGAATTTTCTGATCATCTTGAACAGTGTAGCTTTATTTTCTAATAGCTGTGCAATCTTAATGCCCTGATACTTTGATTTTCTCAGTCCTCTAGCACATAATTCATGTCTTGAAGCCAACACACGATGGATATAATACGGATTCAGCATAAAAAAATACACGATACGTGTATTTTTATTCAGGAACCGAAAACCTTATTGTTCAATATTAATACAAAAAGAGGCTAAGTAACATTACTTAGGCGATTTCCGTAAGCTCCTATTTGGCTTCGTTGAGGGATACCAAAGCACGGTCGGCAAGGATTTCCAATCGCACGTAACCAATTCTAACATCGTCCCTTCATTTTTTTTTCTTTTTTTTTTAACATTCTTCTCGTAATAAAACATTACAGACGCGTGTGGTACTAGTCAGCTACGCGAAATTACAATGAGCAAATTTGTTCCTCGAACTCGTTTCAATTATAGCAAGATTGACTAAAGGAAGTGTCTGTAGAAAAGGCTCTCGTACAAAAAAGATGGAAAAATATCTGTCAATCAAACAGTATGCAATTTTGCTCTAATTCAAACGAGTTCTATTCCGGATATGTTGTTCGACTTATCAAATTGCTGAACATTTTCAAACATACCCTGTATCTCGAAGATCGTGCAATCCAAAGTTTAGCTAGAGACCACTATAGAAATTGGAACTACGATTTGTACGATCTTGGAGATACTACACAAGAGAAAAACGAAATTTGTTTTACCTGAGACACTTAGTGAGTCCAAAACAGTAATAGAAAAATCTCCGCCGTTGAGATTGTTAATCAAACGTGTCATGAATTTTATTCGTTTTTTATGCACGCTTATTAACAATTTCCTCTTTTATGCCCCCCCCTTTCCCCCAGTCGAATCGAATTACATATCTCTTATAACTTAACAAGGTTAACACGAAAGCTTTGCTTAGCAAAATATAAAAATCAATCTTACTGAACACAAAGATTCCATACATAATATTTGGTGCTTATCGTACCCTACTACCGGGTCAAAATATAAAAATTCCCCCCTCCCCTGTACAAGCTACAAAATGTTCTGCAAAGAAAATTCTCGATCCAGGATTTTGGACATTGAATCATAACAAAAATATCATAACAAGCAGTTCTCTCTCATGTTTCTTTCACTCTCATTCTCTCTCCCATTTGTGCTGATTTTCAGCGTTAATTACGCACACACGACGTGTTTTAATATCTACCACTTATCAGATACAAACTCGCGCTTAATACAGAATAAAATAGTTTGCTAATCACCATCATAAAAATGTGGGTGTCTCTTTTCATTCGGGGTGACTCGGTTACAGAAACTCGATGTACGATGTACGATGAATACGATCGAACACTAATCTACGGTGCGCATGATACCCAAATAATAATACCGTGCAAATATTATCTTTGGAATCGAATATCGTTTCTAGCAGTAAAACATCTTTTTGCCCTTTTTATACCTTCTTATGTTTTGAAGATTGAAAAGTAATGAAAAAAATTGAAGAATCGTTTGATTTGTAGGTTAGATCTCGTAAGATAACATTTAATGATATCAAATGATAGATCTGTATAAAATATACGATTCTTTATGCGTAATCTTTTCAAATAACAGAAAAGATATAACTAACGAAAGATTTTTATAGAAAGAATTAGAAGAAATTTATAAAATTTTTGATCGGTGCAACACGCGGTATAAGGATTAATTTACTGCTTAGTCATAGATTTCGTAATACTTTCTCTTAATATTTGCTTAACTGAAGATGCAAAATTGCATATGCACGTATATATGTATTCAGTTATGCTTCTATTACGTACGATTTGTCCGATCACAAAAACCTGATCAGAGCGATACATTTATTGTGCAAATTATCACATTACGTTCATATTAGACGAAGAAGAGGAAGAAACGCTATTTATCTCCCTCTCGCTAACGAATTAAATAAAAAAAGCTATTACTCCGTACAGGTTGACCCACCAGAAAGAAAATACTTAATTTGGAAGATATCATAATGTCCAAAGCAAATATAATTATTTCGCGTAGAATTTTAATAAGTATTCAAATGGACAGTTCTCTAGATTTAATATCCTAACCTATAACAACTCACCCTGTATGATATTAAGTTACCAGAAAAAATAATTACAATTTGCTTTATTTTGAACATTCTTTCTAATACGCATGAAGGTAAAAATAACTAGCTGACTTCATTTCTGGTGGACAATTGTATGCCATTCCTCTGCAAAAGCTCTATCAAAATGCCTATCTTGTCCCAGGCAACACACAACGATATATTCGAACACTATAATCTCACTCTAACTAACTCTAAAATAATAAATAAACGTCGCATGAATTCGCGCGGGTATAAAACGGAAAAACATTTTAACTTTGAAAATGCTACCCTAATCTAACCCCATCAAGCGTGTTCCACAAAAACGCTTACATGTCAGATTATCATTAATCTCAAATAAACCTTCCAATTATCAAAAAAATATCGACTAAACCGCAGCAGTGTCATCGGTGCTTCTCAATAACGCGGCTGCCTTCACGACATCACCACCACATTGATTTAACATAACCTTGCAATCCTCCAGCCCAACAAAGTTGTTCTCCTTTTTCAGCAACCCCTGAAGACGTTCCAGTTTAATTGCTGCTAGCACATCCCAATCAGTAACGTTTAACGCGGCTATGCATGATTCTGGAGTGGACTGTTCATGCAGCACCTTCATCATGATCCTAACCTCGTCAGATTGTTCTCCATTTCGAGGTCCACGGGTTCTCCTCGCGTTTGGGCCGTCACAGGCGAACTCCAATAGATCTTCGCATGAAACATGATCGGACTGTCGCGACAGATCACTCGTGTGTCCTGACAGCTTCTCGTTAGATAACCTATTATAAGTGCCTGTTAGACCCGCAGAATGAAAGCTATCATTCGAATCAGTAATAGAAGGTTCTTTCGATATCTCTGATTGTAGTTTGCCCATATTACACCGTGATTGTGAATTATTCTCTGAATATTCCCCATAATCGAACTGCATCATATAATTTGAGGGCCTCTGAACTAATGGCGTCCTTTTGGACGTTTGGACTTTGTTAGAGGTGAGGAGGTCACCTTTTCCAGAGACCATTGAATCTTCTGATTTGTTTAAATCTGATGGAGTGGAATTTCTACTTGCTTCACCTGCCTCGTTTTCTTGAACGTACTTCGAAGTAGAACTTCTGACTGAAGTTTTTGATTCGATGCTAATCTTTCTCTGGAGTCGTTCAGTGGAAGAATCAGTCGATTGTATGTCACTGTTTTCTTGCATGTTCTGTCGATAGTCTGGGGTATCACAATCGATCAAGTTATCGGAGAACTCGAGCAGATCCTCAGAGATGACACTGAAACGGTGTAATCTATTTTCATCTGCTGGCAACGAATCCAATGCAGCTAATTCGGAGTCTATACGTTGTTCGAATTCTTCTGGACTGAAAGTAGAGATCTCAGTAGTACTGGAATCTTAAATGCTTTTATCTATTTAAATAGCCTTAATATAATTTTATCTAAAATACAGGAAATGGGATCCTAACCTATTAGTTGAATTCTCTGACGAATAGCCCTCTTGTAATGAGCTGCTGGCTATGGAAGAACTCGTACTCTGCAAACTTCCATCCACCTGGTCCTCGATGGGCGGCGTAGTGACTGCCATCTTGGCCAAAGTTCTGGTTACACCACCACCTGGTATAATTAGAGGATGTTTCCTCTGATGCCTAGGTAAACTAGATTTTGGTTGCAGCGTCTTGGACCTGTCTCTAGGTGGTAACGGTATAGGATTCTCGTCCACGTTACTCTGATTTTGGTTGTTCTCTATTTCCTGGGCTGAGTGATGTCTTTCTAAATGGCGCGATTGAGGTAGGGGCGGCGGCGCGTGTGGTGGTGGCGGTGCCCTGATTTTTGGCAGTGTTTTGGAACCGCTGTGATAGGTGTCGAAGTGGAAATGGTCAGTAGCCAAGTCATCCTGATGGGACACCGGATAGCCTAGCGTGGCGTGCTTGTTCCCACGAATCCTAGGCCTAACAACGGGCAATCCAGAGCGCAACATGCGCAGAGGGTTCGTGTCCGGAGAGGTCTCTATGCTGGGCGTCTCCACAAGGCTGTTGTACACTTCCTTGGCCTCGTCCGACAATGTAGCCTAAACAAGTCGTGGGAAGGGATAGATTCGGGAAAGAAGAACAAAAATTAAAGAACGAAAATAACAAATAAAGGGAAAGAGACTGACAGAGAAAGAGACAAATACAGAAAGAGAGTGACTATGAGTTGAAACGTGAAAAAATGTCCTCGTAGAGCGTGTATATGAATCTAGATCCTCTCTAAATGAAAGGAACTCGCAAGCATGTGGGAACAATGAGGAACACACACTTGGTGTCTTACGGTGCAAATCAATATGCCAAAGAAAGGACTAGGATAAAATACATTTGATATAGGCCGACTGGAGATGCTACTCTAAACGGAACAGATGCAGTATGTTTCCTTGTGTATGTGGGCAGAATATTGGAGTTGAAGACTTGCTTGTGTGATTCCATAATTAACATATTTCCATTCCAGTTTCCCTCCAAGTACAAATAGTATAAACGTGTAAATGCATCCAAACGTATTATCGACTAGATATTATTATTCAGTTAATTACTATGTAACATGCAAGCATGCTAAGCGTATGTGACACGAACTGCTTCAGGACAGTCCTTCGTTTAAGTACACTGTATATTGTCCAGAGTTGGGTACTGTTTTCCAATCAACGTGATCCACGTGATCTCTAAGATCCTAGAATGTCATTCCATTCAATATTTTCGCCATTTATTATCACCAAACAATGTTCATTCCATTGATGGCTATAACAAACATCCTGAATAAAAAAACAGCAACCATTTCATTAATGTACGACTTACAAAGGACTATATCTTCATTATTTGGGATCATATGTATATAGAGAACTCCTTATGAAAGCTATTTTATATTAGAAAAGACACTCACATGGGGGATTTCTTTAAGACTGAAATCTTTTAAAGTTTTCTTAACATCAGCAATTACTACTGTAGTGTGATCATCTCAAAAGCTGTAGTTAACTCAAAAACAGTGTTGACAATCTAACAGTATTATTTTGAGTAAACTGACAAGAGGATTCACCCTGTACATCAATCAGTTAATCAGATAACATGAACATTCAATGAAGGTTAATCTAAAAGGAATCAAAAATAGTTCTGCCCAACTCTGGTGCCATCCCATACATTTCTGCCAAGAACATGCACTTGGCATATCAATGATGACATATTACAGATATCTGGTTCCAAGATCAGGTGGAAAGCATTATAGATCAGGATCTTAGATGTTTATGGGGCAGGGGATGGCGGAAAGGTCAATAGGTCGTTCGTGAACTCCGGATACTCTGAGCTAGTATCAGAATCCAGATCAGAGTTACTGGTGAATGTCAGACTAGAACTGGGAGCACTTTCTGGCCAAGAAAGCAGGTTATTTCTTGAAGAGAAAGGTGGTGATAGTGAATTCAAAAAGCTCGTCGATGGAGGCGGTGATTTTCCGCAAAGTTCTATCGACGAGAATCCCCTGGCAGTCTCCGGATGCAAAAAATGGGTTTTATTCTTGAAATTCAATCGCAGGTTATGTGGAAGCTTCTTATGGCGGCGCTTATAGCGCAAACGGCTCCGTATATCTGTTTCTGAGTGAGAAATAGAATCTGAATCCTCGCTAGAATCATTGGTAGGATGAAAGGATCTCCTTATATTTTTAATAGGTGGCTTCCTGTTCTCAGACAGTGAAGACGTTCTGTGCCTATATATGTTAGTAACTGTAGACATCTTTTCCAAAAGTGTATCAGTCTTGGGTAATTCCCTTCTCGTATTGTCATTCTGATAGAGTTTTGGTGGCTCCAGAATATGCTGATGCAAATTGGGACTAGATGGAGGAGGATTTGTTTTCTGCGAAGTCAGATTCAGTTTCATGCTGATCTGTGATTGACACTGAAGAGGAATATTCAAATCCAAGTGTTTAGGCTTTTGTATAGGAATATTTAAGCTTCTCAGAGGCGTCTGAGTTTGGCCAGATATGTCAAAATTCCTTACACTGGTGACTAACGATTTTGACGTAGTAGTTTCTACATTTCTTGAATTTTGCGCAATGTTCTTGCCTAATTGAATCATGTTTTGAGTCAGTTTACCTAGACCCAGGTTCAATCCCTGACCTTTCTTCGAATCTAGATAATTTTTCACACTCTCCAAACCTGACACTTCTTTCTGATACTTCTCTGCCAAAAGTTTACTGCTCAGTTCCACTTGATTATTCACCTCCGCGTCTGATTTCCTTCTAAGTCGTTGAAAATTGACACGCAGGCTCTCTGAGCTGCTGTAAACGGGGGATTCTTTTTTCTCAGACTCTGCAATAAACAATGGATTGTTGGATATTACAAAAGGAAAAGCATCGTGACCATTTTGATTCTGTTCTATCTTGCGGAAACTTTGGATATTAATTCTCATAGCTTCCGTATTTGCTCTCGGACTTTCTGATCCACCTCCCACTTTCAAATTAGTCTTTATACTATCTGTAGATCCATAAATGATGCTTTTGCCCTCTTGACTCGGGTTTCTAGGTACGAATGGCACTTTTCCACCTCTTGACTTTGATATGTCAATCTTTTTAGGAAATTCGGGTATGTTCATCTTGGAAGAATCACTGAAAGAACTAGAAATCTTCGGCCTTGTACCCAAATCCATGATAGCCATCTTATCTCTAGGTGAATCGAACTTAATAGGCTTGCTACGTCCAAAATCAATGAAATTCGAGGATTTCTCCTTCATCAAGTCGAAGCTGGTACTTTCTTCGCATTGTGCTTCAAAACTTGTCACGTTATCTTTCAATGGCTGATCGCAATTAGAAAATTTGCCTGCCACTTGCTGATTATGTTTATTCACAGCCATGGGACCTTGTTCCTGAATGTTCGAATAGCACACTGATTTGTTTGGCTGTTCCAAATTATTTATCTTATCATATTTATCCTCGCCAAAATATAATACTTTCTCACTAGGACATGTAAGAGCACTGTCGTCGTCGAAATACTTTGGCTGTTCGAAATAACGATCCACGTAGCTAGTGGACACTCTTTTTTGCTCTCGAGGAAAATCGAAGTTCGAATTTTCTATGCTAAGAGAGGGTACCTTTCTACTTTGTTGGAGAGCGTTTAATTTCCCACTCATGTCCGTCACGCTATCGCAATTGAAGTTGCCTTTCTTGTTACCATTCTCCAGAAATTCCGTCGACTTTACCAAATTCTGTTTCGTAGCTGCATTGTCAAGAATATGTGCGTCAAATTCTATGTCCATATAGGAAGTCCACACAGTTGGTTTAGTTAAGAGTTCCCTAGATTTTGCAAAGCAAAATTCAGCGGACGCTTTGTCCCATAATGGTAATTTCAAGGTCGATGGTGCACCAAGTGATTCTATGCTAGATACAGTGGATGAAAGTGATTGCAAACTTGAACACAACCACTTTATGTAGACATTGATAGTTCCCAAACAATCATGCGATTCATTTGGGAAAATAATAAATAATAAGCGGTGACGAAATATAATCATGCGGGAATGCCACGATTAAAACAAGCAAAGCAAGTATTGTACCAAGAGTTCAAGTTTCCGATGATTGCATGTAGTTGATAGAAAAAGTAAATAAATATTTAAATATGGTGATGCAATGACAATAGAACGAAAAAATAAGAAATAACCAGTAATAAATAATTGAAAAATTCAAAAACAAACAAAAAATAAACAGATAGGAAAGGATTAGAGGAAAGTCGAGATTAGTCTTTCTTGTAAATTAACAAGCATTTTATCAACTTAATGTACATACAATCAAGTAACTCAGGTCAGAATATGAAGAACAGATACGATTATGATATACCTACTCTTTCGTGTGGCATCAGGAATTAACTCTGTTCCATAACAGTTTCAACAAAAATGGATCGAAAGTATGTCATGAAGAACCCTCTCGTCGAATAAAGAAGTTTTGTACTTTAAAATGTATGAATTATCATTTATGTTCGTGTTGGAATGAATAATTGATGTCTGTAAGATTGATTTGTTCTTGTATGGCTGCTTGTTAGTTTCAGTAAAATAAATAAATAAAATTGAATTAGTATCTTTTTTTCCAAGTGCAATATTAGAATCGTGTTTTGATTATGTTAATCGTGTACCTTTTAAAAGTTATCGGTGATCAAACGAAAATATGTTTAATATACCTGTATGTCAGGTATACTGGCAGCTTCTTCTGAAAAGTGTCGTCTGTCTGGTTTGGGACTGTGTTGATGTGGCAACTTAAAAGAGAACTTTCTGCGTCTTGAAGGACTGGCAGGTGTTCGGGGAGACTCCGGTGGATGTTCAAGGTCTGTCATGGAACGTGCTGTCAATTCCTGTGCCATAGCAATGGCTGAGTAGAGAGTTTTCTGATCGGCGGCTGAGATAGGCTTCACCTAAATATATAAGAAGTAGACGTTTACCACCTCTGGTAAATGGATAATATACAAATTTCTGCTTTTCTTCCCATTTCACGTTAATTTTTATCATACAAAAATTTACTGCATGTGTCTTTTTATTTTTTTCTTTTGTATTTGTTAACTCTGTTTTTGAATGCTACAAATTTTGGGTCCTATGCTTCGACATGCATATAATACATATAACATATAAAAAGATACTAACGATACACAGCAGCAAATAATGGATAAAAAATAAACGATCAACTAATAATACATAAAAGCATAATGATAAATAAGAGACAAAATGTTACTGTACATTTATTGGACTCACGGTGGCCTGTTTCTTCTTATTGCTCTGTTTCGCCTGTATTTCCCTCAGTTCGTTTCGAACGTTGCTCGATTCATGTTCGGTTGATAAGGGATGAACTGGAGGTGGTGGAGGAGGAGAAGATCCTAAAAATGAAATTAGTTGATTTACTAAAAAATGCTCTGTGTTATATTCTTTGATATACAAACTCACTGAATTTACCTAGTGATCTAAACATTTGGTCCATTTCAGCCAACAAACTTGGACCGAAATCAAAATTCAACGTTTTGTCGAATCTCAAAGGGCTGTCTTGATTTTCTTCATCACTGATCTCGTGATACTCATGATCCGCTCCAAGAGTATCGTTATTGCCAGCCACATTTAACGGAACAGACTGTTTACTTGAATTAGCAGCATGACATATTTCAGAATTTACGTCTGACCACAGACTTTCTAATAAAAGGAATACGTTCCATAATATTAAAAATTCCATTAACGAACTTAAGTATTAATAAAGGAATATTGTAAAAGAAATATACATACCGTGTTTATTTGAAACATCCTGTTGTGCATTTCTATAATCCCTCAATAATTCTCTGTTCGTCTCCGCGCTTCTCGTATCCTGATTCAAAGTTTGACTAGAATTATCCGTTACATCTTCTTGTGGTTTGTACGGTGTCACTACTTGTCGTGGTAGGTGTGGATATTTGCCACCAAGGAAGCCAATATCGCCAAAATAAGCTCCATCCAGTCCGACATGGCCAGTATGTTTCAAATCACCTTGCGGAGAGGAAATCATGTCCGTTCGGATCTTTCGTCTCTGAGAAGAAAAGGCGTTCTTTCCATCACCACGTGTGAATTCACCTGGCTTGTTACTTGGTAAATTAGATCCAAGATATGCTATTGTGTGAGCAGGATTGAAAAAGCCAGTTTTTCCATTATTCAAAACACCTTTCCACATGGTGTTACTACTTCCTTTGTCAAGAACAGTAATAACATCTCCTTGCCTGTAAACAAGTTGACTGGTTTCTGTACTATCTTGAACAGCTTGAACCTGTTCCGGTTTCAAGTCAGGCAAAAGATTAATCAGCTCAGAGAACTTTGGTCGTTTGGATGGCTCGTGTTGCCAACACTGTTGCATGAGTGAAAAATACTCCTTTGGGCAACACTCTGGTTGTTCTAATCTTTGAAAATTGGGATCATCTATCGCTTCTAAAATTTGATGACCCGTCAACGCGGCCCATGGTTGAAAACCATAGCTGAACATCTCCCACAAAGTCACTCCATAGGCCCATACATCACTCGCTGAAGTGAACTTTAAATACGATATACATTCTGGAGCACACCATGCTATTGGCAATTTCAAATTTACATTGAAATTCGTTTGATAATAGTCTTTTCCAACTCCTAAAGCTCGAGACAAACCGAAATCAGATATTTTGACCTTGTTCTTAGAGAACACTAGAATATTTCTGGCAGCAAGATCCCTGTGTATGAGTCTTTTAGCTTCTAAATATTGCATTCCATCTGCGATTTGCACAGCAAAGTCGCATAGCGAAAGAACAGGGAAACTGGTACGTAAACTAGGTTCTTTTAGACATTCTAGTAACGATCTTAAAGGTGCTAACTCCGTGACGAGCATCAAGGAATTTGTATCCAAAACTACGCCATACAATCTTACGATATGCTCGTGATCTATCGCATACATTATGACTGCTTCTTTCAAGAATTCAATCGGATTGTTTTGCATTCTTTCCCGTGACAAACACTTAATCGCTACTTGTATTCTTTCTCCGTCGTTCGTCCAAACGCCTTGTTGAACAACTCCAAACTCGCCAGTCCCTAGTTCTTTGTTCACGATGATCGCATCCGCTGGTATCATGTACTTATTAGGAACACGAATCGGTGGTTTATCTTGCCTTTCTTCTGGTAACATAGTTAAAGCACCTGTGGTTGGTTCTTCCCGTTTTGGTAACAACATCTTTTTGAATTTGGATAGATAGTTTTGTGGAAAGTGTTTCTGAAAATACTTTTTTAAACGACGCATTTCTGGTTTGCTCATTCCAATGGCATTCAAGTCCTCCTCCGTTACATATTTCAATTGAGCAGTTGTCTGTACCTTTAAGTCCCCTGTATAAATATATAACAAATTACTACTTCGGATTCTTTGATGTGCTTAATAACTCCAACTAGAAATACAGACCTCGGATCCCAGGATAATATTGCTGGAGCTCTGCTTCCATAAGGAATTCATACAAACCAGGTCCAGTGTTGCGGGACATTCCTCCTTGTGTGTCTTTAAACAAATAAAACGAATACATGTAAATATGAAATAGTTTTTAATAATTAATCATTTTTATGAAAATTATTTGTTCATGAATATTCATCAAGTTTCAACTTTTGAATTAACCCGCCATAAAAAAAACGACACCAATCCCCGCTACTATCGAACTCTATTAATACTAGTCCAAAGGTCGGAGCAAGTTTTCACCGATAAATTAATCCACTAATAAATGTATCTCACTGAAATCACTCGGGAAACACTCAAAACAAAGAAATGTTTCCTACCGTAGAAATAAAAATTTTCCTTACACGACCACCGAACATTACCAAATCTGAACTATCATTTTCAAGCGTGATTATTGCACGAGTGTACGATCGTTCACCGGTAATATCACAGTAATATTAAACAAATGAAATTTTTTTCAAGTACTGAAAGAACACGGAGAGCAACTCAAAGCTTTTATGCAGAAGGAAAGCACGAAACGCACAGAATGGGGGAAAATAGAAAATAATAGAGGCGAATCAGAGTGGGGAGAGAGTACGAAATTATAGGCACGCGACGACAATCCCGGTGTGTACCGTGTGCATCGTGTAATATAATTTTACGGGTGCACTGGTTGAGAATATCAAGAATCATCGCGCGTTCCTCCACCACGCCAGATTCGAAAAATGTGTCTATCATCTTGTTATTTCTCATACACAGTTGCTATAAAAAGTATTGGCACACCATTGTATTCATTATAGTATTTACATACCAATTAATCAGATCCAAGTTTAATAAATAATATGTATTTTACATGACTACAAAAATTTGGTACTTTAAAAATAAAATGTGGAACTTGATAATAAAAACGCTTCATTGGGAAATAAGAGTATGTGCCAATTTTTGTAGCTACTATATGTATACCACGATCGAACCAAAGCCCCATAAAAGAACAAGAAACGAAATCAAGAATCGCTGCATTTCTGTCGAAGACACGCCCTGTGTGTGTTGCTGCAAATAGATTATTATTTATATAAGTGTGTCTTTTCAGCTCGTACCGTGGCACTCACCCATTCTACGATAACGCAGCACGGTACACTCGGAGCTCCTCTCCTTGTCATGAGACGCAAGCGTCTGCCACACTTCGTTCGACCGATCGCCGATCTAAAATCAGGAAACTTATCTCTTTCTTCGTCGTTTTCACTCTCCCCTCCGCCATGCAAATCACACCTCTATTTTCACGTCGAGTTCACATCTTTTATCCCCAAGAGATGTGTCGCTTCTCTTCCACGAAGCAATTTTATCACTAGATTTCGATTCTTTAAAAGAAGAGGATCAATCTAAATGGTTATCACTTGAGGGCAAGGATGTTTATGATAGTTATTGCCGGCTTAATTAATTAGTGATTAAAAGGTTCGACGCTTCAGTTTCTTCGCAAACCATTCTATTTGTTTGCGAGGTCGCGTAACTGCGATATTAGCGCCACTTGTCAAGCACTCCAACAACTTAATCAAGGAGGTAAATTCAATTTCTATCTCCTTTTTCTATCTCCTTTACGTTTTCTTTTTTGTTTTTTGACTTGTACTCTTTTTCTGAATGCTTTAAGATGTTATTTTAATATTATTTTTAGTTAATTGGTCGAAATAATAATTCTATAATGCCATTAACTTACAACACTTGACGTGCGTTTAATCTAGAACATTTCATTTGGAATTATATTTAATTATTTTATGATTTCAATTGTCTCAGTTATTAAAGTATAACATATAATTTTTACCTGCTCTTTAGCATAATTCCATAGTTTTCATCACATTTTTCAATTAAAAAGCTATAATTTTGCAATAATAATAATAGTATGTACGAATTGAGTACCACTGAGCAAAGTTAAAGAACTACTTTCTGATAATACTTTACTATTATAGGGAGGCTTTGTTACATTATATGTCATTAATTGTATTAAAATTTGACTGAAATAATATTTATTTCAGTACAATGACATCGATATTCTGTATTACTTCCATTAAAGGCAATACCATCGGATATTTAACTCGATTATGTAAGGTTAGTACTTTCTGAATTATTATAATAAAGACATTAACATATAACAAAAATTATATGCACAGTGTCATTAAATATGTTTGATATTTAATAATCAAAGTATATTGTGAAAGTATAGTTGTATATTGTCAAAATCGTTTATCTATTTGTATGTATAATGTATAGCTAAATAGTTTTATAAAATGTTCTTTTTTATCCTGAATACTTTCCATTACCAAACTTATTCATATAATTACTTTTTATAGACATCAAAGAATTTTAATAGTGTGACACAAGTGGCATTTATGAAAACATTGCCAACTAGATCCCAGACACCTAAACCAGCTCCATTTCCTTATTGGAAAAAACAATGCAATGACTTAAGTATGACTTTTGATCCAACAACTCTCAGATATGATGAAAATAGCAAATTAATAGTCGTAGATGGCCCTCCTGCAGTAGGAAAAAGTAAACTTTGCGAACAAATAGCAAAAGAATTTGGTTTATTATATATGCCACCACCAACATTTGATGAAATTTATATAAATTATTATGGATATGACGTACGCAATCTAAATTCAAAACTAAAAGATGAGTGGCGTATGCGTGACCTAACAGATTTCCTAAGAGATCCTGATCACCAGGGAACAGCCCGTATCCAATATGGAATATTTACGATGAGAATGGAACAATACATGAACGCGCTACTTCATATTTTGGCAAGTGGACAGGGAGTGGTTCTTAATCGTTGCATCTTTACAGAAGCTGGTTATATGCATGCTATGTATAATTCTGGGTATCTTAGCAAAAAAGCTGTGAATGAATTTGAGATGATGAGGATAAACACATTCCAATATTTGCTGAGACCACATTTAATCATATATTTGGATGCAACCCCAGAAAATATTCTAGTAAGTTTTGTCTAATTTCCAACAAAATTATGTCAGTTAAGATTAATATTACTCTATTGATTGAATATATTACAGGAAAGAATTAAAGAACGAGGTAACATAGATGAAATAAATTCAAAGGTCTTTACAAAAAAATTTTTGTCAGATCTGAGCACCGCAACTAAAGAAAAATGCTTGTCTTGGCTATCTTCTCACACAGAGATATTAATCTATGATTGGAACAAAGAGTGGAATAAAGTAGATGTAATTAACGACATAGAAAACTTAAATTTAGAAGAAGAAGTTAAACAAGAAAAACTTGGTGATTGGGTATTTGTTGATACTAATGAATTAATTGAATCATTACGATTGTATCATACTAAGTATCATATCATTGCTTGCATGGAGCAAACGCCAATAGCGGAAATTGCTCCAGAATTGTACATTACAGCTGATCAAAGAAATACTATAAACAAGATGCTTAATGAAGTAAGTATAAGTATGTAACTTTAGTTACATTAAATTATTAAATCGTATATACATTATAAAAATTTGTTGTAATGTTTCAGATCGAATCCGAAAAGTATGCACCTAACTGTAATCCAAAACTTCATAAAATTCCATGGATTATGAAGAACAATAGGTTCATATTCAGTTTTTATCGTCGCACACCCCGCGACTTTATAAATTGCGATCTATTCAAATTACCATTACCTCATTAATAGCTATGTTAAAACTGATTTGTAATGATTTACATCAAAATAAATTGTTCTCGTAGTAGAAAGTTACTGTTATAATGTAGTAAAATTAAACATAATTCTACAGTCTTGTTTCACGATCTCTAAATAATAAAATGAAATAATTCAAATTACTTCGATTCTGCCACAAAAAAGCAAACGTGTTAAAAATATAAATATATTTTCAAAATTACATAGATATATCGATATATATATATAATTGTTTACACTTGTACACGCATTACATTAAATACACTTTAGCTATATATACCTGCGTATTATATTCATTTATAAGTACATATAACATGTATATATATATATATATATATATATATTTAATTATAGAGAAACAAATTAGAATTTTAATTATCTGTAAAGTTGCTACAACTCATATATGGAAATTATCGAGTAAGTAGTACTTCACTTTTTATCGCTTCGTCAAGTCGTATTACAACTTATTGTTTTATTTTACAGTAGTACAAAACGATTTAATTTTACAAGTCATTAACAAGAACATATAAGGCAATAAGGGATAAAAAGGAAAAAAACTAAGTTTTAATAGCAAAAATATTTTTCATTTACTATTATGCTACGTTACGTTATAAATAAACACTAAGGTAACTGTTTACAAAGCTTCATTTTGTAATAACCCATCTCGGCACTTAAATAAATTTAAAAGTTGTACTTACATCATGTACTTATCTTTAGTAGAGAAATATTTCCTTTATTTTTATAGTCGTTTTTGTATATTTTGTCAACATATAAATAAAAGTCGGAATGTATTTCTATACACAAAACTATAGTACGATTCTTTTAAGACCAAGTTGGTTTTTACAAAAAGAAAAAGAAAAAAAATAATTAAGAACGAATAAAAAGTATTAAAATCAGTTGAGTGAATCCGGCAGTAGCTTGATACACCATTTAAGTGCATTAATACACCTTATATACAAACAGTCTGTACACAAAATATCGAATTTTGTCACATGATGCCATCTACATGTAGAATTTACAAATTATCCATTTTAATGAAATCTGTATGTAATACTAATTTCTTTACACTCTGTATTGATATTATAAAATTACAATGAAACATAGTCAGCATGATTTTCACAACAAAGAGTTTTAAGGAGCTAAACTACAACATGAATTAGTTTTACGCGCAGTTTTGTAAAACGCTTTCGACTGAGTGCTAAGACCTTGCGACTTGGAAACCAATTCATCCAAATTCTCACCTCTTTGAAGAACAGCCTCTAATGTATTGTGCTACAAAAACGCATAAAATAGATATCATTAATATAATCCAAAAGATATTTCTTTGCTGTTATTTTTAAGATTTATACTTACTAAAATAATCTTTGTCTCGTCTAAGTCATTTTGCATTTTAGTAAGAGCATCTGCTTCATTTGGATTTTGATATTTTGCTAAATATATGTTAACCTGTGCAAAGTCAGTCATAGCTTCACTCAACGTATCCCACATAGATTGTGGATATTTTGCTACAAAATCGTCCATAACTTTTGTAATTAGTGTATGTGCTACTCTTCTAGGATATTCATGGTCCGATATAAGTACTGCAGCAAGATTATCTGCTCGTACAAACACGTGACACATGTAATCTGCAAAGCATTACAATTTAACAATTGAAAATTACTAAGAATCTCTATAAGCTTTCGCAAGTGTTACCTCCTTCCTTCACGCTCTGTCTAGAGCAACTCTGAGTACGTTCCACAATAGTCTTACTTATAAATGTCATAAACTCTTTGATGCTTCCTCTTTGAAAAAATGAAAATGACTCTACATCATAAGCAGCTTTTAACATTGTCGCTGATGTAGGATTTTTATACAAAACAGACAGCGCATATAGTTTTACCATCTTTTGGCTGCAAAATGAATGATTTATTCTTTTAATTGGATATAATATATAATACTTAATATATTTTTGGCAAATGGGCAAAAGAATATAAATTGGAATTATTGGTTTTGCAGAAATGCACTTATAATAGATGGATTTCTTTATTGTTTCCCCTATAGGGTTACAAGGATTTCCATTTACTATATATTACATATTACCATATTTATCCTTATGTGTTGCAGAACCATATATATATATTAGCAAGTTATATATTATATAATATTATACAATATTATGCAACAAAAAGCTCCATATAATATAATAATATAATAAACAATACAAAAGCACTTTAGTACAATAAATTATATAAAATAAGATATATGCATATACATATGAACAAGTACTTATAACATCAAAGTACATTGTAAAATCAGATGTTTAATTTTGAACATGAATGTGATGACATATATCTTGTCCCACTGATCTTACAAAGTATACATCATACTCAAGTTAGAAATATTCTTTTTTTTTTGTTTTAAACTTTTAAGTTTAACCTATAAAATTTTAATATTATATAAATTATTATATAAAATTATATTATTATTATATAAAAAAATAAAAATTTTTAAGTTTAACCTATATTTATTCAATCAAGCAGTATCTATAGCGATTAAGATGCTTTATAAAAATAATTCGAATTAAAAAATAAGTTGAGCAAGAGAAACTTTTGCATAAGTAAAAAATAGCCGTACAAGATATATAGATTAGTCTATTTCTCCCATTTTCACCAAAATTTGGCTTACATTCTTTCACTCGCCCACCAGAGATATATAATTATATTTAGCATCAAAAAAATATTGCTTATTGAAATTTATCAAATACACCACTAACTTAACATGTTGACTGCCACGATGGTCATCGATGATTGATATTACTAAATTTTTTAGAATGATTAAAATAAAATAAATTTCATGACCTAATAAATTTTCAACAATGTGAATAACTTAGATAACATCGTCAGAAAAAAATGGGTAAATACAATATAATATTTTTCAAAAATTCAATGTGTAACACACTCCGATCTTGAGTGCGACTTCCGTGGCAAAATGTATAAAAATCATATGACAGTCAACATGTTAAAATGAACATATTTCATTGAACAACTCCAACCTTGAAACTTGTTAAAACTTACCGCGAATTATGTACGATCTACTTAAATTTCTTTTAACATACAAAAAGCATTAGATTTAGGTTAAATATTGAATTTTTGCTCATTCCTGACAAGAATTCTATGACCACTTCTAGTTTCATTTACGACTGCACCTACTTTGATGTTAAAGAAATACAAGCCGCCATGTTTCTCATCTGAACTATGATTCTCAATCGATTTTGCGTATCATCGCTTTTTTAGATTTAATTTTACATATTTATTTTATGATTCAATTCACGTAATAAATAATTACATACGATATATAATGATGTTTACATTATAATAATATACTGTTATTGTAATAATTTGAATATCTAATTAACCTAACTATGTTAGTTTCGAGTTTTCTTTCTAATTTGTAATGAAATTATAGGGTAAAAAATTGCATTATAATGTCATAATTATATTATAACGTGTCATGTCCTAATGTACATTTGCCCCCTGAATGTATTATTGTGGGATTATTAGACAGCAAATTGTACTTTCCCGCCAGAAGAACAATGATGGTAGTAATATAGTTGGTAGTCATGACAGTAATACATGTTGCTTTGCACCGTCTACATTCATCGATCGTTCCTTTTCAGGAAGTTTCATAGATTTTTTTAATGATGCCCGAAATTTGCTGCAAATAATAAATTATTTTAATATTTCTATAAATTACATCCTCTTCATTTTTTAATTGTATGAAAATAAACATGACAACTGCATTATACCTGGAGCATTATTTAGACAGTAAGTGTTCAATCTTTTTTAACCTAAAACAAAAACAAAACTATATTTTTATAGAGTTATGTCACATAAAAATTAATTCAAATTTTATTAATGTCACTCACATATATATTATGATACGACAAATTCAATTCTATTGAATAAATGCATTACTAATAATAGAGAAAATAATTTCTTGCTGCAATTCTTATTATTTATCAAATTTTGTTTCATCAGGTTTGGAGCATTTACCTATTGAACTACAAAGAAACTTCACTTTGATGAGAGATCTCGATGCCAGAGCACAAGGATTAATGAAAGACATAGATAAATTAGCAGATGATTATTTGAAAAATATGAAAAAAGAATCTCCGGAAAAGAAGAAAGAACAGTTGACCCACATTCAAAATTTGTTCAATAAAGCAAAAGAATATGGCGATGACAAAGTTCAGTTGGCAATACAAACATATGAATTAGTAGACAAACATATTAGGAGACTAGATTCAGATTTGGCTAGATTTGAAGCTGAGATACAAGATAAAGCATTAAATAGTAGTAGGGCACAAGAAGAGAATAACGCTAGTAAAAAGGGTAGGAAAAAATTGAAGGAGAAAGAGAAACGAAAGAAAGGAGCTGCAGGCACAAATAGTGAAGATGAGTCAAAATCAGCTAGGAAAAAACAAAAGAAAGGTAAAATTAGTTGATATTGTATTTCATCTATATTCATGAAAAGATTATAATTCATTGAACATAATTTCAGGAGGATCTGTTGCCTCTGCTTCGTCAGCTGGGGCTGTTGGAAGTGGTGCTCAAGTAGACTCTACTGCACTTGGCCATCCAGCAGATGTTTTAGACATGCCAGTAGATCCTAATGAACCAACTTATTGTCTGTGTCATCAAGTTTCTTATGGAGAAATGATTGGTTGTGATAATCCAGACGTAAGTGTATATTATCTCAAATATCTCTTTAAATATTTGTAATCTTTTAACAATATTCTCTTTTGGTATAGTGTCCTATAGAATGGTTCCACTTTGCATGCGTTGGATTAACTACAAAACCTAAAGGAAAATGGTATTGTCCAAAATGTACACAAGATAGGAAGAAGAAGTAAGTTCTAGAAAATGCATAAATATGTTCATCTATTTTAAAATGAAATAAAAGATTTATGCATCATTTCTAAAATTAGGATATAACATCATTTCATAGTTTAACATGAAACGAAGTTTTATTGTATAAAAGTAAACAAATATTGTAAAAGAATATAAAGAGAATACTAAAACCTCCATTGCATCTAATATTGCCAAAAAAGAATGTTTTTATTTAATTTTATGTTTATGATAAATTAATAGCTTATCACAGAGAGAACATTTGAAAATCGGCCGACTTTATTGTTGTCTTTCTATTTTTCATTTTAGATATATAAAGTAGTAATTTATTTTGAATTGGTCGTTTTCAAATATCTGTGATTTACTCAATTGAAATACCATCTTACTACATAAGTATTGTATTAAAGTAAAAAATTATATATATATATTGCTGTTTTTATATTTTATAAATGTAAATGATACTGTATAAAAAGAGAAAAAGAGAATAAGTTTCTTTTTGTTGAAATAAAATATACTATATTAAATTGAATTTGATATATATAAGTGACAAAAATATATTTAATTTACAAGAATGGTTTTTTTAATTTCTATTTTTATTCAAGCGTATGTACAAAAAATAACCATAAATATGCTTAACTTATTTATTACAAAAGAAGAGTATTAATATGAAATGCATGTTTTTATATGATAATATTCGAATTTTTACTCATTTATCGTTATTCATTCCTTGATTAACTAACTATGAAAACTATGAAGCATCTCGTTATTTAGATTGAATTATTATAATCGTTTTTAATAAATAAATAAAAGATTCATGAGCGTAATTACTAACAAATGTAGTGGTTGAGTACAAATTTGCATAATAATTGAAAATGGAGAAATGACTAGAATATCAGATGTATGAAAAGAAGAGATTTGATTGCTATGGAATGCCTGGTTGTAAATTGCAACATTGACTAGGTGGAACTGTCCAATTATATTGGTAGCTCATGTGATTTCTTATTTCTTTCATACATAATGCTCCAGATGCTTGATAATATTCATGCATATTTTTCATGTTTTCAATGGTCTGTTTATGCGTAACTATATACTGATTAGAACATCCACGCGATCTGTATTCAGTGTTAAAACGTATGTCGTGTTTTCTTTCAATATTTGCCAAAGGTGCTATCCAAACACCAACAGACACATCTTCTGCTTTGTACAATCTAAAAATATACCCAATAGTAAGAAATATTAAATATAATACTTAATAACAATTCAATTTTATATTATCAAAATCATACTTAAAAATGTCTGCATTTATAGCAATAAATTTTACTAAATTATAAGATAAAATATATCCTCCTCCAAGTGCATAAGGAAGATAATAATCACATAATATCCAATCTGTCTCTTTCCATGGTCCAATTCTTTTGACATGTGCCTTTCCATTAAAAAATCCCCAATATAGTTCCTTTTTTGTTCCTTTGCTGTCCCACTTATCTAGCTCTTTTAAAATCTTATGTACCAGGGCAAATGTATCATCATCGCATTTCATCACAAAGTCAAATTCATAGTATTCATAGATTTCCTTGAATGCGTGTAAAACTTTCTTTGTTAGAGTCGCATAAGAATCTGAAAGTCTTGGTAATAATAGTAAATCATCAAATTTCTGCTGTTCAGAATGCAGAGTTTTTCTTTGCCCTGAGAATATATCTAAAGTTCCTATTACAAAGAAATGCTTGACCGTAGCTTGCTTCTGAGCCAGCCATGTTTTCCTGATTGTTGCCCTTCGTTCTAAGTTATCAGGATTAGACAGTATGAGTACCATAAGTCTGAATTTCGTCTTGTTCCTTACTTCTTGCTCGTTAAGAGAACACTTTGTGGAAGGCAAATAACGTATACATAAGAAGACAATCAACAGTATGATCAGCAACGTCGGGATATTGAATTTCACGTGCAATTTTTTTCTGATCATCATGAATAAATTCTTCGACGAAAGTTTTAGTGGTAGAAGCGTCACAGAATTCATTTGTAAATACGTTTATATTCACATTCCTAACCTCTCGAATACTACCTCCGTATATGTAAGTATGTGATTTGATAATTCGACATTTTTTCAAATGCTCAGTCTTTAAATCAGTACCATCTATTACGTAAGCATTTCTTGTAAGAAATTCTTATTTCCTTTTATATTGACATTTAAATTTTCTAAAAAAAGTTCACGAACTCAACCGATGCAGAAAAATCTAACTTTATTGACATGGAGAATTAAAGAAACCTAACTTCATTGACAAGAAGGATCATAGAATTATTTCCACTACTACTGCTGTCAAAAATTTCAAATATAAAAAACAGATTTCTAATATTGCTAATTCTAATAGAATTAAGTAAATCATACATGAAATATAAAATCACATTTCTTTATTATTTTCAAAAAATTAATTTAAATATAAAACATTTATAAAGAGTATATTACTATTTATGGTATAAGTTTACTCAAGTATTTCTTATTACTGAACTAAATATCCACTTAATAAATAACCTCCAGTATCACTGGTTAAAATATCAGGATGTGTTCTATCTGGTAATACTTGATACGATCGCAGGAAATTGGAGAAAAGTTTTAAATTAATAACATTTTGCTTTTGTTTCAATGTCATGTAAGTCTCCAGTAATGGTTCTCGATGCACATGATAAATTACAAATGGTCTAGATGGTCCTAGAAAAGGTAGAAGAGCTATAACAATGTTCAAAGGATGTTCTCTTGCTATGATGGCCAATCCCCGAGCTTTAGAACCATTAACAAGATCCACTGCTTCTTGTGTTTTTGGTAACCACTTTGGTTTCTTTACAGGAGTAAGTTTTGCAGATTTACATTTATCACTTTCATTTCGTTTGCGTTTTAAACTACCATTTGTGCTATGTTTAACATCTTTATTTAATTCATTAACAATATCTGAATTTGCCTCTTTCATATCTGTGCTATGCTTAGTCTTATCATTTGATTCATTGTTATCTAAATTTTTCTCTTTTTCATCTATACTATGTTTGATCTCATCATTTGATTCATTGTCATCTAAATTTTTCTCTTTCATACCTATGCTATGCTTGATCTCATCATTTAATTCATTATTATCTAAAGTTTCCTCTTTCATACCTATTTCTTCTTCTACTTGTGGAAGTTGTTTATTTACATGATTCTCATCATTTTTATTTTTTACTTTTTTTACCTTATTTATATCATCATTATAAGCTTTTTTAGAAATTTTATCCAACACTGCACTTGCACCCTGGTAATACAGTCTCAAGAAGCTGTAGATATTAACATTAAGTAACCTGTCTGATTGTTCTTTAGGAAAATTCATAGCATTAATAAGTGCAACCTGAGGCTCATTTCCAGGGTGCAAATTAATCAAATGTCCCTTTGTATTCGAACCAATTCTATTTAACATTGCAGCTGCTGGCAAACCGTGTGATCCACTGTCATACAATATGTATAAACCATCTGATTGAACGTCACTGTATGACAATAACTGTGCCAAAGAGTCCATTCTTAAATTTCCAATTTTGTTATGATCTAGCTTAAAATATATATCGTGCAATAAATTTATACTGGGTTTCCATATTGTTATATATCGGAGATACTTCTGTTCCTTTTTTTTCAGGTACTTTTCCTGAGAGTATTCAGTCCTCTCTAAGAAAGATTTATTGTTCTCAATTAAACTGCCCACTATTTCTTTACCGCTTTTGCCAGATTCTTGAAGCTGAAGTATTTGTTCCTTGGAAAGCTTCTGTGATGTACCGTCATCAATAATAGAACGATTGTCACTACCACTTGGTAGTTCACTTAATAAATCATTCAATGACTCTGTTTCTACTACTTCTTTTAAAGAATATGTTCGCTTCTCTCCTCTTACTTGTACCATCTCAAAGGTAGTCCAAAATGGTTTTCCAATAATCTCATGCATCTGTACTGCATCTTTCCCCAACATTAAAGTACCATTCATAGTTACTTTATAAATCTTTTTAAAGTTTAACTTTTTTATTATCACATACTTTCCTACGGTAATTATATCGTCTTCATTTCCACACATATTTATTAATCTAACTGATCTCTCTCGAGATACACGTTTTTTCTAGATTTGATAACTCTGCTATAGGTTAGGAATGCTATAATTAATACTTCAATATAAATTTATGTAAATTTTATATAATATATTTCATGACATTCTATTTTTGTCAAATTTTATAATTTCTATTTTAGAATACTGGAAATACTTGAGATACAACTTGATCTAACCTAAATGCAGCGGCGTTAAATAACCAACATATCATTGATGACACATGCATCATCTGTCACTAGAGGTTATTAAAGTCACACTGAGAAAAAAATATTAATAATTTCATTCTTTTTCTTTATTGTATGTTTTATCATGTATTATTATAAAATAAGTAATCTTTAGTTTTAGTATACAACGAATTTGTTTCCCTTTATAGTAATTTAATATATATTATTAATTATTAGGTAAACAGAATGTTACCTTATAAAGAGTTCCAAGCAGTTGTACTTGCTGCTGGAGGAGGTTCCCGTATGACTGAGCTTACTCGAAGTCAATATAAATGTTTGTTGCCAATTGGAAATGTACCAATGCTCTGGTATCCTCTTCAATTATTAGAACGTGTTGGTTTTAAGGAAGCTATCATTATTATATCTGAATATATGGAACGCAATGTTTCCTTAGCCCTAAGTGACTTGAATCTCAAAATTAAAACAGATATCGTTGCTGTGAAAAATGCAGAAGATTTGGGAACTGCAGATTCTATCAGACTTATTCACGAAAAAATTCACACAGATTTTTTGGTCATATCTTGTGACTTGATTACAGATGTGGACATATGTGAAATTTTGAATCTTTATCGAAAACATAATGCTAGTATCACAGCATTAATGTTGCCTGTTCCTAAAATACCAGATGACTTTGTAACACCTGGTCCAAAAAACAAACAGAAGCCTGAAACTGATTTGATTGGTATTTGCAATGAGACTGGCCGATTAATTTTCTTGGCCTCAGCCTCAGACTTTGAGGACACAATAAAAATTTCACAAACATTCCTTCAGAAACATCCAAGTTTTACTATGCATTCAAAATTAATGGATTCTCATTTGTATGTCATTAACAAATGGGTTTTAAATTTCCTAGTACAGAATAAGTAAGTAGAATTTCACAAAAAAAGCTTTTAACAATCTAATTTATAAATTTTCTTATTGAATTAACTTTTGCTTTTTATAGAAATTTTACTACACTGAAAGGTGAACTTCTTCCATATATTGTTAGGAAACAATTTTCAAAACCTTCCAAACAATGTACAGATGATAAAAATGCTTCTGTAGTACAAATGAATTTGAAGGATGATATCTATTATTTCGCGGTTGAGAAACCACTCGACGAATTAATCAGAAAAATGTCAGCATACAATGATCATGGCACTGATTTAGAAGATGCTTACCATGGAGATATAATACGATGTTATGCTCATATTAGTAATGGGAAATTTGGTTTGAGGACAAATACCATACAAATGTATCACCTTGCTAATACAAAGGTGAAAATGAACGACATTTATTTTAATTAATAGTTTTAAACATTAAATTAATAGCATCAATAGAGATATAAGAATATATTGTAGAATATAATATATTTTAGATATCAGAATGGTGGAATAACGATAATGATGGACAGTCTCCTGTACCAATTATTGCTTCTACAGCAACAATACGTAGCACACAAATGCAAGATTGTTATGTGGACAATAATGTTCTTATTGAAGAAAAAACATCTCTTAAACACACTCATATTGGGCCAAATGTAACCATTGAATCAAAGACTAGAATATCACAGAGCGTTTTAATGGAATCTGCAAATGTCAAACAACGGTTTATATTTAAAATAATTAAACTTTATGTTCATAGAAGGAATAGTTATAATTTATAAATCATTTGTTGCAGATGCGTAATACAGAATTGCATATTAGGTAGTGGTTGTGTTATTGAAGAGGGTAGTGAATTGAAGGACTGTATAGTTGGTTACAAACACATTGTACCATCTGGAAGTCAATATTCTCGCGATGTTCTGACTGATGCAAATGACCTGATAGTAATTTAATTATTCGCAAATATATTAAATACATTAGTCATTTAAATAATAAATATATTTGTCTTTATAAAGTTAGTATATTATCATTAATTCGAATTAACCTTATTTCTTAAAAAGAAAGTAAGATAATACAAATATGTATGCTTTTTTAATACAATATATATCGTAGATCCAAATTGTATCAAGTTAATCATACACAATAAATATATAGAAATAAAAAAATTGTTTGTGTTGCGTAAAATTAATATTCAAATGAGAACCACTGTGTGTTTGAATAAAGGACCGTGTGGAAAAGGACCGTGTGGAATCGAAACACATATAACTTTCTTTCTTATACTGTTCCTTCGTGCAAAATGGTAAGCGTGTATTCGCATCTCTCAAATCTGAATATTCTAAAGCGATCATAAAAGTTATTTTCTTGCAAAATATTTCAAGCCTTTTTAAATTATATTTAAAAATATTAAAAATTTATAGTTTTGATGTAAATGTGTCGTATCAGTATATTATTAATGTGAATAAATGATGATTGAGGTTATGTGACAAATGTTTGTGACTCGTCACCAGATTTCAAACTAATCTCTCGACTGAAATCTTGGTTATAGCACCTATTGCAAATACTTTATTGCTTTAAATAAATTTATTGTAGAGGTATAATTATGGTACGACAATTTCTGAAATATATTAATATTTTTACGCACCAATTGAGGTTATGTTTATTAAAAGTTTATGAAACCTAACCCAAATGGCAAAATACTTTTAGTATTTAGTATTTAGTATTTTAATGATTTTGTAATTAACAATTTTATTAATTTTTACAGACGAAAGGTACATCGAGCTTTGGTAAGCGGCGAAATAAGACACATACATTGTGCAGACGTTGTGGTCGTAGTTCGTACCATATCCAAAAATCACAATGTGCACAGTGTGGATATCCTCAGAGAAAAATGCGATCATGTAATATTTTACTTTATATTCACAATAAATTCTAGTAGTTATATTTCAGAATATTATTCATAAGTTGCCCAAAAAATTTTGAACTTTGTTATAGATAATTGGTCCGTAAAAGCTAAAAGGAGAAAGACTACGGGAACCGGCCGCATGCGTTATTTAAAAATTGTCCGTCGTAAATTCAAGTAAGTATAAACGTAAAATGAATAGCAAATAAAAGTGGTTGATTTCGAATAATGAAAAAACAACTCTTCTCTATTTTTTCTAGGAATGGATTTAGGGAAGGTTTGCCAAAACCTAAATCAGTTCAGACTAAATAATCTTAACTTTTATCATTGTATTATATATCTATAAAATTTTGACTTATAATAAATGTCTTAAAAAGTCTAAAAGCCTATGGTATATTATGTACGTCAATATCAATTCCATTTTAATTAAATAGTTAATTAATCAATTAGTTTTTAAGTAAAAGTAGTTGAGATTTAAACCTTTAAGCAACTATAGTAAATAACAGATCATCATAATAGTCGTATTTTCACTGGCTGAACTTCATTTTAGATTAGATTTATCTTCAGTTTTCGTGACTTTTGTTATAGTATATAATAGTTTATATGAGTGACATGAATATGAGTAGAATTCAAAAATACTAATTTTAAAGTGTCTAGGTCATTATTTAACAAGTTATGTGTATATAAAATTCATACATAGTACACAAATAAATTACTTAGACTTTTTTTTCATCCACTACTGTAAGTTGTAAATAAACCGTGCATATTCATGGAAAATTATATTTTTATGAATATAATTTAAGAAATGGATATATTTTTGCATATTGTATGCACTGTTTACATTTTTTAATTTCCTATAAATGCATAAAAATCTACAGTGTAGTGAAAAGATATGTATGCCCAGATTGTATAATATGCATAAACTTCTATATGCACAACTTTTAAAAAAATGATTATCGCGCCTTAAAACTAATATTTTTGGACTTTTGGTAAAAAATTATCATATGTTATCAAAGAGAAATCACAAGTTTGGCGTGGCCCAAAATTAAGTTAGTTTTTTTTGCCAAACAAGGATTATGGAAAGATTAATGTTTAAACAAGTAGAAAATGCTGAACGGTGGGGTTGTAGATCTACCGCGCAGACGCGGCGCAACTTTCGATTGCATACCATCTTATAATAACCGCGGTTTCGCAAATTTATATTCAGTAATGCGCAGATTTATATTACAAAGCGGTAACTTATATCTGTTTTGAAAATCTATGTAAAAGGTATTCGCTTTTTAGTTAGTCGGAACCGGTATGTTATTGGGTCACGTTCGACAACATTTTCGTCTTCACAAGCATCGAAAAATTAAAATCTCTATGATTATCTAATAGTAAAAAAAGAATTTTAAATAAAATACAGAAGAAAGAAATCTAATATACAAATATTTAAAAAATCAGGCTAATAATAAAAAGTAATTATCTAATAGACTTTAAGTTCAGTACGCAAATGACCGTGTGGAAAAAATTGTTTGGTAAGTACGAATATTTTATATATTTAAATTTTCAAATTTTTGTACAATCTTGACAAATATTAATGAATTTTCAAGTAACTTCAAATTATAGTAATTTATAATCATTAATACAAATTTTAGGCAAGTATCTTTTAGTGACCAATACTGTGAGTTGTGGTTTGATGATGGCGGCAGGGGACGTTCTCCAACAACGCAATGAATATTTGAGAAAGCATAAATGTTTACCTACTAGAACATACGTTATGGCAGCGTCCCCACATGCAGAACAAAAATTTTATAACTCAAAAGATTCCGACAAATATATGCACGATTATGTGAGGACTAAAAACATGGCTATTGTGGGTCTACTTCAAGGTCCTTTTCATCACTGGTTCTACATGATTTTGGATAGGGTAGTTCCCGGGAAAACTGTACTCTCCGTTATCAAAAAGACCTGTCTAGATCAAAGTATAGCCAGTCCAACTTGTCTAGGAATATTTTTTATTGGTCTTGGTCTTTTAGAACACCGCACTATGGAGGAGATTCGCGAGGAAATGAAACTGAAATTGTACGATACGTGGAAGGTACATATATTATATATATGTATATATATACATATACATACACACACTTCGCTTTCCCAAACTATTATTACATTTCCTTCATGGCACATTCAAGTTATATATGTATTATAACTGTAATTTCCTTTTTATTCTATTTATGTTCAGGTTGACTGTTGCTTTTGGCCTCCAACACAGTGCATTAATTTCTTATTCGTACCTCTACACTATAGGGTGCTCTATATCAATTTTATGACAATGATCTATGACATTTTTCTATCATACATTAAATATGTAAGTTTCGAACACATGTTTAATTTTCGTACAAACCTCTTGATTAACTTTCTAACAAAATGTATTAAATTCATCTTTACTATTGTATAATTTATTAATGTATTTATTATTTCTTCTATTGCAGGACGCGCAGTATGAGTGATAAACATCTCAGAGCTAGTCTGTTGTACAGATTATAAATAATTATAATTTTTTTGCATGATTATCCATAACTTGCAATATATATATTATTTTATAATATATATATGTATTTTTTTAAATATATGTTACCACCGAATAATACAAAAAGTATCATATAGAATGTATAATACTCGACACGAAAGGAATGTTATTGAAAATAAAGAAACATTTGTTTTTTTATAAAAAGAAAAGTATCGTTTATAATTTCAAAATCCTATTATAGCTTATTAGTTGAAATTAGATGATAATTTTAAGCACGTGCTAATATTTATCAACAGTTGGCAACGAATGGAAACTAAACAAATTAACTACAGTTAAACATACCTAAAACATTCCAACGCTTATTTAACTTAATGCACTTATTTAATCATCGAGACTCACACTGGCGTCGAAAGTTTCGAAATTTTCGATCTCTTAAGTCCGAATGATGTTTATCACTATTTATCGATGTGCAACCGTCTGATGCATCTTGGAGAAATTCTTATTCCATTTCCTTATCGTCCGTTACAACAGTCCATCGGATGCAACATATTTATTAGAGTGACAGCTTTTGTTTGTCATTTGGCGACAATGGGATTACAAAACATCTTCTAAGCCGTCGGTCGCCAGCGAGCAAACAGCGATCATTCGCGTGTAAATATAAATAATAAACCGAGCTAACAACAAACAAGACAGCCAGATAGATATCGATGCATTTACAAAAATTCTATGACAATAAAAATAAGTATTAAAGGGTAAAGAATTTTCTCTGGAGACAATTTTTGTATCTAAATCTTAACTGAAACAATAATAAACCGTTTCACTTTGCTGTACAGATTTCATATTCGTTTATTTCTTCTATGATTTGCATTAGTTTTAGCCAAATTTCTAGTTAATTACACGAATAGAATAATATTTAAAAATTATATAAAATATTTTCAGTAATAAAACTATTGATCCAGCGCGATAAAATTTTCGAGGATTTGCATAATAATATTTCGATTCTAGTTTAATTAGAATCGAAATATGATTGATGATGATAACGATTCAATCAACTGCGAAAATTATATCTTTTGTAATAAAAATTGCGTTAATATCGTTTGTTTATTAGCTTCTTTATTAGCTTCTAAACAGATTTACTAGTCTACGTTAACAAAAATTAGTGATCATGTTTATTTTTACATAAAAAAACAAATACGAAAATAGATGCGATGTTTTTTCAAATAGCTATATCTGTATCTATATTTCACAGTTATAGTAAAAATATAAAAACAGATAACAAAATGATATCAAAATATTTGTATAAGTAATGAAAGTTGAATAAATATTCGTTTACAAGTTAACCATGGTTAGATTGTTTGCGAAATGGAGGGAGGTCCAAAACTCGTGCAGTGCCAAGCAGCATTAAAGCTGGAAAAATTTCGCAAAATTTTTATTGTCAGACATAAATTACAATTTATATTGGCTCGTAAAAGTATTTGAATACTCACAGAAAACTTTTATAAATATATTATATAATATATTCTGAAATTTCATTAGCACTGTAACGAGTCATGAGTCACGATTATTGTGATTACATGTACGTATTGGTAAAATTTGGAACAAATCTAAAAATGTATATTTTAGGAAGTAGATATATGTGCGAGTATGTGTGTACGTAGCGGTGCGGACGGCGCAAGGTCAAAAATGAAAACTATTGTGAAACCGTTATCGTCGCGAAAAAGCCCAGGAAGAAAGAGTAACATCAGAGCCGGCTCATCACAACGACAGCTAATCCCCGGCGAGGAAGTTTGAACGCGTAATCGTTATGCTGATCAATTGGTATATACGTACGCCGGAATAAACAGGCGAGCCGCAGAATAGACATTTTTAAATCGAGAAAAAGCCATTATATTGTTAGTAGTATATCTTGTATATATTATTTTAAAAAGTTGAGTCCACAGCAAAGTTATTTTCACTTTCTGCTCTCTCAACCTATATACCCTAACGTTTCTTGATCTTAGAATATAGAGACGACAAGATATTTATTGCACTGATTTATTGCCAGCATATACTCCCAAAGATCATCAAAATGACCTATCTTATTATTATATCTGCATGGTTTCTTTAGTGAGATCATCATTAGCATTAATCATATGTTTAAGACTATTATTCTTGTACATTCAGCTATAAATTAGTTAAATTTTTATAATATATGTTCTGTAAATTCTTCATACATTTTCAGATTGGTTCCAACTTTTACTCATATAATCGCAATATTTTACTCATATAATCTTAGATTTAAAATTTTCCGTGCTAGGTGTACCAATACTTTCATGAGCCAATACTTACATTCGATTTTCGTCGAAAATATCCTAACCTCAAAAGTTTGTTTACCGGCCAAATTTATTTCATTCGAAATTGCATGAAGTTTGTAGAAATAATAAAAAATACTATTTCAGACTAATCTAATTGTTAAAAAATATCCAATAACGACTTAATTCTTAACTAAAATATACAGTTTATTTACATAGATATATCGAAACATGTGATACGTGAAAATACTTTAAAAATTAAATATAGAAAAATGTAGAAACAAATTGATAAGTTACCGCTTCCCATTGTGTACATTGTCGTTTTTCCAGTCCATTTCTGGAATTTTTTTGAGTGATATGCAACATATAAGCCGGAACCAATAAGACCGCAGCCACTGAAAATTCTACAGCCCAAACAATCACGGTTTCTATTGCTAATCATGGACTTTATAGTAGATGTTTCCTGCATTTTTCACTTTATAATAATATAAAATTTCTAAACTATATACGAAGGAACTTTTTTCTAAACAATCAGTTTACGACGATTTTATATAGGTTATGTTTAAATTACCATGTTCACAATAAATCGAAATAAATCGAACTTTGATTTAAATTTTTGAAATAATATACTGGAATATTATATTATAGCTTATATTTAAGTAATAAAGATTAAGAATATATATTAAACTTTTATTATAGGTTAATAAATAAAATACAGTTTAAAATTTGTCTTTTACCAAAATCGATAATAAATTAAATATAACCTATAAAATATATTATCTTTTTTATAATCCCTCTTTCATAAACTTGTATTACAATACAGTAAGAATTTTAAAGGCACATATAATTTACTAAATTATTTTTACAATTATTTGATTATTACTTTATTTATTTTTTATTCAAATTTGAGTATACAAAACTTAAGTGAGTCAATTTTCCCACAATTTTATAACGATAGTAGTTTTTAATCGTTTACTGAAGAACAAAAAATAAATAAAATTTTGGAAAGTGTAAAAATTGTAAGAATTTTGACAAATTCCATTATTTCAATGTGCTAATTATTCTATGAGCTTCTTCGCTTTGAAGAAACGTCTTAAGTAAAGGACTTGCCAGATTGAAAGAACCAAAAGCCAGCACATGGAAAATATACTGAAATAAAGTACGCGTGTGTTCGTTGCCTCTGAAAATTTTAAGAAAGGTAATTAAATGCTTTTTTAATTCCGCCAAAGGGTTTAACAAAAAAGATATTTAGTTATTTTTATATCTTGTAATACCATTTGTGTCTCTCATTTCTTCTTCATTTTTCCGCATTCGAGCAAAATCTTGGACAATAGCTTCGGATAAATCTTCCAGACGTTTTAATTCAACTTCAGAAGGTTTAAGCTTTGCTGCTTCACCAATCTTAAATAAAAGTAGTTAATTAGTTAATTGTTATTTCATACTGTCAAATTCCAGATTTAGAATTAATTAAACTCAAAATTCAAACACAATTTAATATAAAATATAAGTCTATGTCTAGGAAACTCAAATCTGTGCTCATACTCCATTAAAAATAAAATTGGGTTTTATTAAAATATTATGAAGTAACTTTTTTTCTAAACAAAATTTTTCAGATATTGTGCTAACTAATTCATGCTAAAACCCATGCCATTAAAAGCCATATGGGTGATCACTAATAAAATCAATATTGCTACATTACCAACTGTGTGCCCATACAAGCCACATATAAAACAAAGAAAAGATAGGAAATATTGTAAGTTTATCCTTGAAACTTTTGCTAAAGGTGATAGATATTGACAATCCATAGAATATATTACGAAATATTATATTTTTTATACAATATTTCATATTATGTAAAAGAAAAGGAGAGAAAATATAATTTCCTTTTGTAAATTGAAAATTAGGGTAAAATTAAGGATTGTCAATTCCTATGAAATATTCAATACATACTTTATCAAGAATGAAACAGAATTGTTACATAAGAATAATTTAAAAATCAAATTGATGAAAACAATTTGATATATCTATATATTAAAATCATTCAAAGAACTTACTCCTTCATAATTCTTTGCTTCAATTCCACGTTTTGTTATTAAATGAATCTCTTGCTTAATCTGTTTGATATCTAAAACACATTTTTAAGTTTAGGTAATGAAATATAAAGAAACATTATGTATTTTAGAATTATGTATCTGTATACATACTGCCCGAAAAAGATGGTTGTATGGCATGTGCCATAAAGCAAATTTCAAATGTATCATATGTCTCTGTGACAAATGAGAATTTCAACATCTTCCCATGGGGAATATCATCTTTTTTCGATAGAATATCTCCTTTTGAATCTCTTATCTATAAAATTACGAAAAGTTATTAAATTGTTCAATTCTTGTTGTAGTTTGATATCTAAAAATTGAAAAACAACTCAATTCTCCATATGTGAGTTAAGAGAAGTTAACCTAATATAACCTCAACATAATTTCTGTATACAATATACACTTAAAAAAATATGATAGAAAATTGGTGATTTACAATGTATTCGGTTTTAACAGCTGGTGTCACAGAGACTTCATATTCCCCAGCAACCAAAACATTTGCTTGAACTTCCTCCTTTAAGCACTTGAAAGCATTCGGCTCAAGGTAAAATCTGATACCGTGTGCATACGCGAGTAACGTTACGAAAATATATATTACACCTCGCATTTTTCAAGGAATTTCATTAAACTGTATTGAATAATCTCGAAGAAAAATATCTCTTAAGAATACTTGAAATTAACAGTAACCCATCAACATACTGATGAGTTGGCAGCCATTAGGTATTTTGGATTAATCACGTGATATGATAGAAAACAAGAACATGGCGTACATTCATAAAAATTCAAAATTTAATTAATTAGTATATAAGAATCATACAATAATCAATCCTACTAAGAATCATTAACTCTTTATATAGCATTAGTATCTTAATTTAAAGTTTCAAATACAGTTTTAAAGCGACCTACAACTGACAAAGAAGAACGGCTAATTGTGGGTTACCTTAAGTTTTTAAACCGACGCCGACAAGCGCGCCATTTGTAAACTACGCCGAATTGAATTTGAAGTTTATAAACGGTGATAGAAAAGTGACCGTTATTTGTGATAACAGGTAATACCTAACAAATTATATCTATTCTCCCAAGTTATTCCATAAACAATTGTTTTTTAACAATTTACTAGTTACAAAGCACATATATTAAAATGTCAACCTCTTACACACTGGAAGAAATTTTGGAAAGACAATGTGAAAAATTGCAAGATCTTGAAATTGCAACGATATTTGTTAAAAGTAAGGTTAAATTTGTATTCTTTAATTTAATATCTTATATTACAATATTTATATTTAATTTTATGTCCAGGCAAAGATGCAATAAAAGAAGAACTTCTTAAAATGCGTACAGCAATCTTGCAGAAATGTAATGATATAGAAATCATGAGGCAAAAATTGGATGAAATAAAGAAGCAGAATAATCAATGTAGAGTATGTTTTATAATTTTTTATATTTTTACACATTTTGCGTTTAAATAAGTTTTAATTAGAAATCTAAAAATTCCAGGAATTAATGTTACATATCAAAGCTGTGAATAAAAAAATCAATCACATGGAAAAAAATATTCCATCTGAGTTGATTCATGATTATTATGAAACTCAAAATCCCTTATCATTAAGAAGCATGCCGGGAGAGGAATTCACACCAGTACATACAGTAATAAGTGACAATAGAGAAAAACAAGAGACTCCAATGATAGACTGTAAAAAAGTATTATTTAACGAACCTGAAGTTTGTCTTATGATATCTTTGATAGACACGGATGAGTTCAATAAAATCCCAAAGTACATTATTGGGAGACAATCTTTAGAAACAGTCAATAATTTTATAAATACCATCAATCAAATATTAAAAGCAAAATATATGTTTTTATCATTGGGGAAAGCTCATGCTAGAAAACAAGGCGATTTGAATCTTTATTTACACTATAAAAAACAGGAAATGGACATCTGTAATGATAATAGTAAGTTTTCTATTTTATATAACTGAAGTACATATTTTATTATTACAGGTAAAAATTGTGTTTCAGAATATGTATACTTTTTCACTGGTGAAGATTATGAAAGACAAACGAAATCCAAATTAGACAAACTCAAATTAAATCTAATGATAGTTCTACGACATTGCAAAAGATTAAGGGAGCACAGGATAAAAAATGATGTCCGATATGTAATATTACCAAAATAATAATTAAGTTATAATTATAAATCAGGATATTGTGTAATAAATGAATGTTTTATTGTACAGAAAGAGTAAAAATGTAATTTAGCAATTATGCATCTATTAGTTATATTAATTGATACTATTGTAAAATATATTTTCTACTATCCCATTTCTTATACTTATTTTGTCTTTAAAATTTAATATCAAGGTTTTACTCAAATTAATTTGATTAAAAATTTATAATTGAGATATCAAATAATGACAAATAAGTTTCTAACGTTCTTAAACTGCGAAAATTTTTTAAGATTCGCATTTGTTTCGGTCGTCGTGGGAGCGTGTTTACCAGAAACACTCAACTCATAAAGATTAGACTCCCTGTCGAATTGTTTCGACGAAACGAAGACACAAGTTTAGTTTGCCATGAAAGAATTCTTCCCTTTTCATTTCCAAGGAACGAGGTAATCTGCTCTGAAATAATTTCGATCGTACGCTCCACTTGTGGAGATAAGATAGTCTAAAACTATCATTTTTTTTTGTAATATTTAATAGTAACCTTATCGTATAACAATAATTTATTTCAACTAAGAAATTACACATCAATTTAACAATTTAATAGTAAAAAATGCATATTCAAAAAATCTCAACTTAATGATTAATATATTGAAAAAAGATGATATATAATTAATGTTATGAGAATAATTTTTCAAATATTATATGTAAAATTTAAAAGATTGTAAATAATAAAATATTTTTCATTTAATACGAAAGCGCGTGAAAATAATTATCGTTATATAGGATATTTCTCAAGAATTAAACAGTTCGAGCGAAAATTCATGATTATGTAACTTTTTATTTATCGTATATCTTTTTTCTTTGAAATATAATCGATTAATGTTAAAATTTTAGATAAAAAGAATTCGTAGATTTCTTCCAACATGAATAGCGGAAGAATGGAGTCGATTAGCACATTAAGCGAGCATGAAGATGATTTTGATGAATTCGAAGGATCAATTATTTGGTCCCAGGAGGAACCATTTTCTTCGAATGAAATTTTAGAATTAGCTCCAGATCCCGATAAACAAAATCGATTAAAATCTTTATGTCGTTTATGTGCTGGAGAAACTTTACATCCGATTTACATCTATTCCGAATTTGGTGAATCTTTGAAACTTTTGCATAAAATAAACACATGTTTAAGTGTTAAGGTAATCATTTGTTGAATTTTTTACTCCTTAGTACAAATTACACTAATTTTATGTAAATATATAATTAATAAAATGAAAACATTAAGATCACTTATAGATAAATGAAACAGAATTTAAATTTTTTTTGTTGCTATGCATACGAATTTTTCTATAATAATTAAATTTTTAAATATGATCATTAAATATGAACTTTTTCATAGGTAAAGAAAACTGATCCTCTCCCCAAACAACTTTGTCCAACATGTGTTGAAAAGATTACTTGGTGCAATGAATTTGATGTTCAATGTATCAGAGCTGAGGAAACTCTTCTTGAAATTTTAAAGCAAAACCATTCTTTCAATAATGCTAGAAATGATGTTCAAGAAAATTCTCAGGGGAATATTGATTCTTGTCCATTGTGTGTTGAAGGACGGATGAGAATTTATAAAGAAGATAAAGAGAGTAGAAAAGATGTTGAACTGTACGATAGCGATATTGTTCTTGAGAGTAGTGATGAGGAACAAATTCCTAATGAAATTAATATTGAACAGAATGAGGAACCAGAAAACGAATCTATAACTTTGTTCTGTTTGGGTACCAAGCAGAAATATCTGAAATGCGGAGCTTGTATGAATTTGTATCATACAAAAGAGACTCTTGATGAGCATAAATGCAAACCTAATTTACAATGTACTTCCAAACCTTACAAGTGTGATATATGCTTTGCAACTTTCACGTTTGAAGAACGATTGCAGTTTCATCAACATTTTCATAAAGATGCAAAAGCGTTGTATTGCGAAATTTGCAAAATTACGTTTGGGAAGGAATTAAAATTGTTTTATCATTACAAGAGGTATTACCTAGAAAAATTATTATAGAAAAATTTAAGTAATATATCCATTTATTTTATTTGCAGATATCATTGTAAAGATGGTAGAGTATCCTGCTTACAATGTGGAAAACTATTTGAAAATCAAGAAGGATTAAAAAAACATATATGTGTGGATGGAAAAACAAGACCTCATGTATGCGAAGTTTGTTCCAAGGGGTTCTGTGATGGATACACTTTGAAACGCCATGTGGTAACTCATCTTCCAGAAAAGCCATACAAATGTCCAGAATGTTCAAAAAGTTTCACACAAAAATCAAGACTGAATAAACACATTGCTGGGCACAGCATCATTTTGGAAAACAGTCAAACTATTTGGAGGTAGTATATTTGTTTTTGTTCTTCATCATTCTTCAGTAATCAACAAGTTATGTTTTATAGGTGTATTCGTTGCGGTGAAGTCTTTGGAAGTTGCGATTCCACAGATGAACACTGCAAAAAACATGAGGAGAAAATTAGTCTTATAGAAGAGATGCAAGTATTGAAATTGTACCATTGTGAATTCTGTAGCAGCCACTTTGCAGATATGGATCACTTAAAAACTCACAGAGAATCTCACGTTATTGAGAAGCCATACTCTTGCAATCATTGTAACTCTACATTCAAATCTTTCGCAGAAGCTGTTCTTCACTGGAAAGAGCACCCAAGAATATTCAAAGTGCTAGTAGTATTTTTATGTGAGATTTGTGACAGAGATGTTAAGGAACTATCTTTGCTTTATAAACATAAGCAGAAGAGACACCAACCAGTGCCTAGAAAATCAGAGAAGAGCAAAGAGAAGTTCATTTGTGAACTCTGTGGAAGTATTTTTGTGACTATAGAAGATTTTCAAGAACATGGAAAGTACAGATGCTCCAAATTCCCATGTGATATTTGTGGTAGTCTTTTACCAACTGCAAATTCTCTGAATGCTCATAAAAGAAGACATAGTGGACTAAGACCGTACGTATATTAAGTTATATTAATATTTTATAATTTTTATGATTTTTTATTCTTATATAGATATGTTTGCAATATCTGTGGTAAAAGCTACACTCAATCCAGTCATATGTGGACCCACAAAAGGTTCCACATGGGTGTAAAACCCTATGCCTGTGAATATTGTGATCAGAGATTCACAATAAAGCCAGATTTGGCAGACCACACTAGGAAAAAACATACAAGGGAAAGACCATTCAAATGTGATGTTTGCAACAAAGCTTTCTTAACTGGTTCTGTCTTCTACCAACATAGGCTAATACACAGAGGGGATCGTAGATACAAGTGCCACTATTGTGAAAAAGCATTCACCAGAACAGAAGCTTTAAACAACCACATAAAGATTCACACTGGTGAAAAACCACATGCATGTGATGTTTGTGGAAGATGCTTCAGACAAAAAGGAGACATGAGAAAACACAGGCGAACACAACATATTGCCAAACAAGACACAAAATAGGTTAAGCTAAATATAATTATTAAATACTCTCATATAAACACTTTATGATAATCTTTTGTTGTAATGAATTATTTTCAAACGTTATGTCGTAATTAATAAAATGTAAATAAAATTTTTATGATGGTAATGCTTTATAAATTATATTAAAAAAAAAAATTATGAATTATGCATACCAATTACTTTTAAGAATCTTTGTTCTTTTAAGGTTATGTAAATATTGGATGGATAAGAAAGGAATATCGTAAAAGGAAAGAAAAAGAATGATTGATATTGTAAAGTGATTTAAATTTGTATTCCTTCAAAATTAGGCGCGATAAGAAGCGCGAACAGGTGCGCAGATGCAACACGTATAGAACAGGTGATATGACCGATGTCTCGTGATTCGTACCACTGAACCTTACGACTATAACAAGTGCAATTGTTACTGATAAAGATTGCACACGTATGAGGTTTGATTTCGTTACAATAGAAATGATGACGAACTACAGATAAAAATCATTTCGTAAGGTGCTCCACGTACCTGACACTCCTTTGTAAGTCTATGTTCGATCACTTTTTAGTTTCAATTATAACGTTCACCGATCTTGTTTTCGACCTACATACCATAATAAAACGATATATAACGATCAGTTAAAACTCAATCGATGCTCCTTCTAATTACCTTATTCAATATTTTCTGTCATCTTTAATGACACGTACCTAACCTAATTCAATTTGACATATGCGTATCATCACAATGAAAATGAAAATTTTGTATTTTTCAAAGGGCTTTTATTACTTTTCAAATAAAATTATAAAAAATGTTGACGGTAAATGTTTTTATTTTGATAACATAAGTAGAGCAAGAAATATTGAATTTCACTTGATGAATTATATTAAGAAATAGAGATAAATATTTTATATAAGTAGCAAAAAGTTTATACAATAATAGTTTTATTCTTCAGTCACAAGAAGACAAACATCATTTTTCAGAAGTTCCATGAAGAATGGCATTTCCTCCGCTAGTTAGTTCTACGCCTCCTCCTTTAGACAATCTAGGGGACTCTGAGGAAGATGAGTTTGGAGATTTTACTACTGGAGGCATAGATGGTAATTACAACATTTTTTACAAAAATATATAATACATAATAAAATTATACAATATGATATTATAAAAATATATAATGTAATATAAATATATAATACATATAATGTATAATATAAATATATAATGTTATATATATTTCTATTATATATCAACATTTATATTCTAGAATTATCTGTATCATCAGATTCACCGCATAAGCTTGTAACTCCAGTCCAAACACCTTTAACATCTCAACATACTTCACCGAGAGTAAATGGTATTTCAGAAATTCCAGAAAATTCTCAAATAAATGTTGGTCCAAAACCGAATATTACAGAGGACCTTTTAATACTTGAGAAAATAAATGATACTGTAAATGATATTAAATTCGGGACAGAAGTTGAGAAGTTGGATGAAATCATAGGAAATGATAGCAAAAAGAACTTGGGAAATGTGAACAATAATAATAAAGAAATTATTGTAGAGAGAGAGGTTTCTAATGGA